AATTATGTGAGAGATGTTATCAGACAACTTGATAATTGACTCTGCACCACAACAGATTGGACTGAACATGAAAAAATGTTATTATAAGCATCTGAAAACCACATAATTGAAGAGGATTCTGTAATTGAAGCAAACAGGAATAAAAGCCAATGTCAGTCTCTGTTTTGCTGCTTGCTTTTCGGCTGCCATTGAAACGGGGAGGGGGGCATGGTATTTGGGTGGGGAATTGTTTAGTGCTGGAGTGACTGTGAAAAGGGAGTTGTTCTTGCCATCTACTGCACATGCTGTTGATAGAGGAGTTACCGCCAAGGCCAACTGTCCGGCATACCAACCTGATGATGATTTTTGAGGGTGTCTCCCACATGACACCTGTGGGGTGCATGGATTGGACTATGGGATGGGGTTACCAAGGAGAGGGGGTTGGGCCATATATTGATATCTATGATTACATACGCTTTTGTCTCAGATCTTGCTTTGCCTAGCTACTACCTACTCATAACCAGTAAAAGTACTCCAGTAATTCTGCAAAATGGATTTGAGTGGTTTCTTTCTTGGTTACTGATGGAAGCAGCCCTGACAGCCAATGTCTTTCTGGTGAAATCTAGTAACACATTTTAAGCTTGTGAATGTAAGGCATTCAAGAAAAAAGTTACTGCAGTCTGTTCCTGTTACATGTGAAATCAAAGCTCAAAATTTTAAAAAAATCCAATTGTATTTTGTAGTTCCCAACAAGCATCCAGTACTTCTAGATCTGAAATTCACCTACGGATGATCTGCCTTCTTCAATAAAACAAAAACTGAAAACAACAAGATGATCTGCATCATGTATTGACCCATTTTGAAATAGATTTATAGTTATTATATCTGAAAATAAGAATCTGTTTGTACTATTCCAGACAATAAGCCTCAATGTAGATATTAAGGTTCATTCAGCATCTTGTTGTCAGCTCCAAGACCACATCTGTTGGGTCAGCCATAGTGTTTACAATGGCAAACCATTCCTTGCCATCTTACCAAGAATATTGAACTATCTATATAGTTGCTAAAAGCCAAGACTGACTCAAAGGGGCAAAAAAAGGTGATGCATTATTTCCCATTGATCCAAAATTGAGGAATGCATATTTGTTATGAATCAATTCTGTCCCAGATACCTTGATAAGGAGAATATTTTGGCTCATAGTCATGTCATCATTTCACCTGTGGCATAATCAGAGTATCTGATTATACAAAGCTGGATATATTTTCCTCTGTTTGGTCTTTGCTCTTCTTTATCCAATATCGAACCATGAATGTCTACTAATCCATTACTAGAAAAGCAGATGAATCTAACTTTAAAAAATCTCCTCAAACATCTTCAGTAAATGAAAATAGAACCATTAATTTTTCATTAGAACTGCAAACAATAATTTAAATTATCCTAATGTAAGAATTCCATGAATGTGTGGACGTTGCTTTAATATTCTCTGGATATGATGCCAGTCAGTCATTAGAAAAATTGAAAGTTTGTTATACTTTTCACTTGCCAAAGAAAAGCAAATTAATCAATTAGCTTGATACTTAAAAGTCCTGGAGCTATGCGCTTTACTCTTCCCCTTCTCTAAACAAGTGAATAAATATCCACTGTCAGTTTCTGAATACAGTGATCTGCTTTATTTATTATCTGATTACTCAACTATGGAAAGCTATGCCTGAAATGAAGGAATATTGATTTAAATAAAAGTTTGGGTAGAATTTTATACATTCATACTTTGCCTGAAGTTGTAAGAACAACAAAATCAGGAAGAAAAAAAGAATTCTGATTGCAGAATTAAATAACTTTTTAGTTTTCAAATAATGAGGATAATTCTCAACTCAGTTGTTTTAAAAAACTGCAATTCAAACATATATAAGCTCAAAAATTAACGAAGTAAGCAGCATTTTTGGAACATTTAGGGGGCTGTTTTACTAGCATTGTTCATCACCCCCGCAAGCACCAACACAATTAATAATTGCAGGGTAGGCATGTTTTATGATCAAATATCCTCATCTTGTGCAGCTATTAAAATATAGAAGCATTGCAAGGTCTGCTGATTATGTCTCTGGAGCATGAGGCATTCTTAATTGTATTTTCTCAGGCTAAGTATTGAATAGTGTTACTGAAACTGTGGAGAATGGCCCAGAAGTACCTGGACAGACACTCCAAAGCAAGATTTGTGCCATCAAAAAGGAAGATACACACACACACACACACACACACACATACATACTAGGGGGAGAGAGGGAGGGAAGGAGGGAGAGACTAACCGACCATGGTCTTGAGAGAGACAAATCTTAAAAGCTTGCTGTTTGGATTTAGACAGTCAAGATATGTACCAAGCAATGTGGTGTGTAATAAGGATACTAGGAACTATAATAGTGCATGGGGGGGAGGGGGGAATTGGCATGTCTTGAATCTTTTTGTTAATGCAACCAAGTACAATGTTGCATCAGGAGACGGAAATGCTGTATCTTTCGATGCACCAAAGTATAAAAGGTAGCAAGGTTTTGAAGAGGATTTTTTTTTTAAAAAAAGTACTCCTGGGGGTGGGGGGGGGTTTGAGGGCAAAAACGAGCAAAAAATGGCCCAGTCTGTTTTTTATTTTAAAAAAGGGCATGAATAGCCTTTAGGAAGCTTATAGAGTGCTGCTGGGGGGCCATTTTTCACTCATTTCTGCCCTCCCCAGCCCCCAGGAACTCTCTGAAAGCCTTCTAAAAGCTATGCACAGCCATTTTGATAAAGGGGCGGAGTTTCAGGAGGCAAAAAATGCTGCATTCAGTCTATAAGACACACCCAGATGTTCAGCCTCTTTTTTGAGAGAGAAGAGTGTGTCTTATATTCTGAAAAATACGGTAGACACATAGTTCATTTAAAAGAGAGAATGAGAAATGTATTTGAATTTGCTTAAAAGTTATTGTTTTGAGCATTACACATATTGGTAGGGTATAAATTTATTACATGGACTTACTGAACTTTCAATAACATTATTAAACATATATTTTAAAAGAAGTGCACAGACAAATATACAGGAAATCTTTTAATAACTTTTCAAATATTTCCAATAATTTTCCAGTGCAGATTATGAAAGAATTCAGGTCAGCAGTGGCAATTCGAGCATCTCTCCCTCTCTCTCTCTCTCCCCCTCCCTCCCTCCCTCCCTCCCTCCCTTCTTCCCTTCCCCCCTCCTTCCCCTCTCTCGTCACCCTTAAATGAGTAACCTATATTTTTGGCATACAACACTTTTCTGGGTGACGGTGTTTGTTTAAAATCAAAGTTATAAATTTCTGTTATGGCTACATTATCCAGCTACAAAGACTAAGCATAGCAGAACCATCAAGTGTCAAGTTATAACAGTATAAAATATAAGATGAAAAACTTGTCCTCCACCATCTCGTTTCCTTCAAGCATGTTGGAACAGCAACTTTCAGAATTCCTAACTGGAATCAATACTGAAGAATGCCAAATTGCACAAGACTGACTTAGCTGGCATAGATTGTGGTTGTCTCAGATATTCAAAAATTATCACCATGGAAGAACCTTCACCAGTTAAGTGAATTGTACTAAAAGTTACCAAAGTCAGAATGGATATGTGTAGACAAGCAGCTGGGTGGAACCAATTTATACCCCACAAAATTCTGGGATGGCAATCAGCTGAAATTGGTTTAAAGTACATTAGGCACATTCATGAAACATATCTCTATTAATTCCCTTTATCAAGGCTACAGGTCTGCCCCCTCACTGTGAAAGGTATTAATCTATATCTCTACTTGAGCACATACTTGTGTTTTCATTTTAAAGAAAATATGGACAATATGCCTAATAAATAACAATGTTATCTTATTTACCATCACAATTATTTTTTTAAAAAAGGCTTTATATCATGTTCCTCGTAGGGATTCCATGGGAAAGCATAAGCATGATATGTTAAACAAGAGTGGCATCTGTACAAAGTTAGAACATAACATAAATGTGCAATTATACTATTAACCGCACTCTCATGTATGACAAGTGACAATACAGGCAGTTCTTCTGTTCTTTTCAACCCTATGGAATGTTGGAAATATATCTTGTTCTAGGGCTTAGTACTCTTTTTGTTTTTCTGTCTTTCAGAAAAAATAATGCTGTAAAACCTGAACAAAATGCAACCAGAGAGGAGGAACTGGCAAAAGAAATTCAGGGCTAAAAATGGACCAAATCATCTGGAAGGAAAATAAAATCCCCCAAGTGATCCATAAGTATTTCTTGGGACATAGCTCAGAATGCTGCGGTATCCTCCATTCTAAGCCAGGTGATCTGAACCAGAATAGATAGTTCATCTTGTGCTTTCCAGAATATACACATATAAATGGATACCGATGCAATGTATTAATTTTGTTACACAGAAAATGCAGAGAGATCCTATGACCACCGCTCATAAAGAGGAGGTTCTGGAGGAATTCCAGAAGCTAATTCCTGCACACTTTCCCTACTTTGTTAATACTGATATCTAACCTGTAGAGAAATAACCTTGATTTTTGAGCTGCTGGAGTGGTAATGGGCAGAATATTGTAATTCATCTTCTATAAGCTAAAGCCTTTCACAAGTATTTGTCTTTATTAATTTCCAGTAAGCATGGAGGGTCTTAGGTGTGGAAGACTGTTGCATGCATATAACAACTGCATGTACATCAATGGGGCTGTGATGGTCCCACATTCTCAACTCGGATGCTCACAACAGTTTATTCTGTTACATGTTCACTGTTCACTGTTTTCAAAAAGCATTTTATTCCCATACTGAAAAGGTATCACATGAAAAAGCAGTCCCAGACCATTTCAAGGAAATATATGTATATTTCCAATGTCATCCAAGTGTCAAGTCAACTCCATTTAGATGACCTCTCAGGTAGGAAAATTTCTCATAGTGGCAAACCAAAACATTTACCAATGCCTGCGGATGCTTCCCTTCTTCAATAGAAAAAACATATAAAAGAATGCAGATTCCAAATTCAAGCCAGCCTCACAGGTTTTATGTCTTTCATATCACATTTCTGCTGATCTTCTGGCTCCAAATTAACGTTTGCATCTCCATTCATTAACTCATGTCCTATGTTGTGACTTTTTGTCTTGCAGCATTGGCAAAGTGTCCTAGAATTTTCTACTAAGCTGATGCAGAGATTAATGATCAGGGCTAACCAGGCCATCCCAAAGAGGATCCACAGAGATACCACGTTCTTATACCAGCCTGGGTAAGTGCGCGTAGGGTTCATGCCTGCAAGGAAGAAAAGGGGCAGAATCTTAACAGAGGCAGAAAGAAATATAGAGCACAATTTTAAAGATTCTTGGATAACAAGAAAACGAAAGGTGTGCTTAAGCTATAGAAAACTCAAGAGTGGACGGTACCACTTAGGTCAGCAACCAAGCCAAAGAATATGTTATATATTGTGTTTAACTTTCCTGTGGCCCTTGTGTTGTCTTGTCACATTTGGGGGGGGGGGGAAAAAAACAATTTTCAAGAAGTGGGGGGATCCAAATAGTTTTCAAGCAAATTGGGGGGGGAATCTAAATGGTTTT